CGACAGGGCGAGCTTTCAAACTTAACAGTGCACCACCTTGGCCACCGCGGCTTTCAGCTATAAACTGTCCGAAAAGTTCGCGTCGTTTCCCGAAAAAATATTCGACGAATGCACGAAGAAAAAAATTTGCATCACAGACGAGGCGGTTTCATGACTACGCAATTGATTCCGTCTGAAGTATTCCCGACCCTAAACCGTATTCGTTCCTCTGTTCGCATTTGCATGACGAGCGTTATATTGAAGTAGGACATGAAAGATTCCTTGCTCAAAACGAGGAAAAGAAAAACAAAAAAAAATCACCAGCATGCCTCAATGTCAAAAGAAATGTAAAATTAAACGTCTCGCTTCGCATGAATTTCGATGAGAAGCGTGTAGGGTGGAACACGCTGACGCAGCAAAGAGAAGATTCGAGGCCCTCCGAGCAGCGGTTCATGCGGCTGTAGGGGAAAAAAACAAATCTCTAGCAGCCCCCGTTCGCGGCGACACGACACGCTGCAAATAGATCCAAAGCGATGGCGCTTCACATATTGCGCGCACTCGAAAGATCGCACTGCTTAGGCGTGAACACCCCCTTCCCAAGCTATTCTTTTATAGGAGGGTTGCACAGGGGCGTGGCCCACGAGATGGCGCCAGCGTCGAAGAGGCAGCACATCCATCTTTGTGGTCTCCCTCCCTGCCGCCGCGGGCAAGCAGTCGCAGAACGTACACTAGTACGAGGTACACTCACGGCTGCGCGCCTGTGCAAGATTCCTGTGCTCATAATGGTGAACTGTGCTTTATTTGGTTGCTACAATCACTCGAGGAAGAAGGCTGGTCATGACAATGCGTCTGATGTCGGCTTTTTTTTCATGCCTAAAATGATTGTAAACCAATCGAAAAGGTTTGAATGGTTCAGCCATACACTATGCCACATCACAGAGGTTCGCGTTTGTGGTGAAAAACTTAAGTTTTCGCGACGTGCGCTATGAAGCTTTGTTTACGCAGCAAGAGACGAGCGCGCGGACTACGACCGCGATCGCTGCTTATCACCGGTATCATTCAGGTAGGTGTGGCGTGTTACTGATTTCGGTGTGTTAGTAAACAGTCATCGACGGAGTGCGTTCTCGTTTACCCATGCTTTAAAGAGCCGAGCACATTAACGTCGATCAGTTACAATCGAGACCGTATGTGATTTCTGGGTGCGCAACTGCCCGACGCGCGTCATTGGACCCTGCAGCAAAGAGCATTTTTGATCGCAAGCGGCTTGGGCTCAACCACGAACCAACTATGACAATTGTATCACCTCACATGCTCTTGCAAATGGTAAAGCCCTTCCACACAAAGAATTCGTGAAGCGCCACCACCGCGGTGAAAAAAAAATTATTCGTCCGAGCACTGAGCAAGGAAAACGAGTCACATTTCCGACGACGACGCGGCGGCCGTCTCCGAGGTCTCTAACTCGATGCTGTTGGACTCATCCGCTATTCACATAGTTGTGGGCGTCCATCAATTTACAGGCTTTAAGCTCGTCCCTTGTTGCGAAGCTTGTGCCGCCAACAAGGTGGTTCTTAATGTCCGTGAGCTCGATGCGGGATAACACTTCACATCACACACAGCTTCATCGCTGCTGAAGTCGAACAGGACGATATCCGCCGAAAATGTGAACCTTATGTTCGTAGCGAAGTTTCACCGGACTTCGGAAGTCACGCGCGTAAGCACGCAGTCGAGTTTCACCACGTTGGTACAGTACGTAGCGGCACGTACACAACCTCTTACTGCCGCTCGCCGCTTCAAAAAGGGCGCGCTAAGACCACTGACATGGCGGTAGAGGCAAACGCCGCTAGCCCTCAAGCGGATGACGTCACGTGCAACCCTCCTATATATATTTGTTCGTTCATTACTTGAGAGAGACAACGAAAGGACGGGTCTAGCACTCGAAACACGGGAACGATGTAAAACGTAGTAAAACCATCTATTGCTGGGCGAATGTGCACGACGAGAAAAATGTTTTTCTTTGAGCTTTCCCAACGCGAAGAAAGCGCGATGCATCTTGGCACCGAGTCAGTTGGTGCTCAAATTATTTTTTCTTTTCGTTCGTTCTTTCAGTTTATTTCTTCGTCCGTCCTCGTTGTTTTCGGCTTTCGCACCTCCAGGAAAAGCACGAGAGAAGAGGGGGGAGGAGGGGGAGAAGAAACGACACGTCGCACGCGGGACGGTAGCGCCATCTGGCATCTGCTACTCGAACTGCGGTCTCGCAAAAGATGGCGCATGAAACGAACAGCACGCGCGGAGGATCACTCGGTTAATTAGGGAGTTTAAGAATGACGCTTGCAGTTATTCCGGGCGTTGCTTTTGCTGCGGGCGCAATACGAGCTTTAGAATAGCGTTGCTCCCCCCTGGTGAAAAGTCTTGGGACTTTCGCCCCGACCGCAAACCCAAACGCACGGAAGCTACACACAAACGCACGGAAGCTACACACGGCACTTCGCTGGCCTCGTGGGCTGCGATCGCCGCACGTTATTTCGGATTTTCTTCGGGCGGGCCAGCCGCGAACGGCGACTCGCGTTAGGACGCATGCGCAGTACCAGCGACCGCACCACAAGACCTCGCGGTGCGCTATTCTAAAACTCCCTAATATATTCGATGCTACGTGACGACCGCAAGGAATAAACGCGAGAAAGAGGAGAGGATAATCACGAGTCTGGCAGTGAAACCAGCTCAGTAAGTAAAGTAAAAAAATAACGATGACTTTTATACGAATCAGTAATCTTGAGTAGAAATACAGATGAAGTAAGAAAGCAGTGAGGAAGCACAAGTGCACGTGTTTGAACAGTGAGATACTTAGATATAGGATTTAGAGATAGCCCTTCTTCCCCAAAAACCCCACCCCTTCGAGAAGGGGGAGGTATTACGGGGGGGGGGGGAGAGGAGGTCTGCGGGAAAGAAAATTTCTCCTTTAGGAGTGTGCTTGAGGAGATGCGGGAAGAATTTCTTGTAACGAAAATCCAATTACAATTCCTCCCGCTCTTAGAAGCAAGCACTCATCCCCCCCCCCCCCCCCCATGCATTATGGTAAGACTCCCGAAAAATCAAAATTCTGGATACACCCATGTTCCTCAGCGTACCCAACTACGATTACATTGACTGACTTACAGACTTGAAGTGTTTAGCCTCATGGGAAATATTTTCCGACTCTTCAAAACAGACCAGAAGGAATGAAAGTGACTTGTAGAGAGAATTTCAAGAAGAAAACGTTCTTTAAATCAAATCATCGTGCTTCTATACATTTAGGTCAAAGGATATCATAGGGTTGCGCACAAAGTAAAATTTGCACCACTCACTCTAGGCTGCTTTACGATGGGCACTTCGAACGCCCTGACAACAAGACGTGATAGATGGTGAACATTACGGAAGCGTATGCACACAGAGCAGTAAGTATTAGTCTTGAGAAGCACGCAGTGCCGGACAAATTGATAACTCATCGTCAACACGGCGGTGCGCACGAAAAAACGATAGCACGAAGGGAATGATACAAAACCCGGAGCAATTATCAAGTTACGATAAGCATTAGTATAGTTCAGTCACAAGGCTCCACAGAACGCCTCCAAGGGATGACACCACATGCCGGCTACATATTCAAGCTATTCATTGTAGCCGCTGCCTTGAAGGTTGATTGATTGATTTGTGGGGTTTAACGTCCCAAAACCACCATATGATTATGAGAGACGCCGTAGTGGAGGGCTCCGGAAATTTCGACCACCTGGGGTTCTTTAACGTGCACCCAAATCTGAGCACACGGGCCTACAACATTTCCGCCTCCATCGGAAATGCAGCCGCCGCAGCCGGGATTCGAACCCGCGACTTGCGGGTCAGCAGCCGAGTACCTTAGCCACTAGACCACCGCGGCGGGGCACGCTGCCTTGAAGGTTTTTTTTTTTTTTTGCTTATACCTTTCAGTCAATCCTGAACAAGTCTTGCATCCAGCTCCGCCACAAAGAGAAATGAATACCTCGGTTTCATTTTAATGTAACACATCGCCAAGGCTTTCAGAACACGATAACCACTCTAAATGGCTCCAATCGAAACTTGTGTTGCAGTTCACAAAGGATGAATTACGGGAAAAAAAGAAGCAAAAAATAAAGGAGGAACGGAAATAGCAAAAAAGAAAGAAAGAAAGAAACAAAGGAAAACGGAAATAGAAAGAAAGAAAGAAAAAAGTAAGCAAGATAGAACGGAAATGGAAAGAAAGACAAATAAAGAGAAAGAAGAACGAAAAAAACGGAAATAGAAAGAAAGAAAGAAAGAAAGAAAGAAAGAAAGAAAGAACAAGAAAGAAACCACGTGCGTACGAGGTGATGCACGTTAGAAGTAGTCGCTACCAACCGGATTCCAAGCCGGAAAGCTCGTTGCATAAAAGTTTACATCTTCGCCCTGTGTTCTCCCGCTCTTTCCTTGTTGTTTTTTTTTCCTTTTCTATTCATGCGCGTGCACTGATCGGCGGCTCCTTTTGCGAAGCCCGAAATTCGGTAATGCTTTCGCAGGACAGGAGATTACCTCATACCGAGCATCGGGAACGTCCTGCCTTTAATGCAGTTGCAGTGCGTTTTGTGTTTTGCTACTACTTCGTCTTAGTATTCGGTAGGCGGATTAACCGAAGCTTTAAATCCTTGCACAGAGGCTCATACTGGTAATACAGTGCATACCGCTTAGCTGTGCCCGGCATTCTATAGTGATAAAAAAAAAGAAAAAAAAAAGACGCGAAATGCAGTGTACATTTTGTTACTAACACGCATGCACGCACACAATAAAACCACGAAATCGATAGAACGCAATCTCTTGCGACAAAAAGAAAGAAGCATCCACGTGCTAAACAAAAGTCTCATCCAGTTTCTTCATCTGTTGTAAAGCAGCGCCGATGCGGAAAGCGCTCAACAAAACCGTCACGTCCCGTATATAGGCGTTTTTACCATTGCGTGACATTACACAACCCTATAAAAGTGGAGAAAGAGAACACTACTGACCGTGGCGGCATGGTGGTGCCTGTGTATAAGGGCGGTGTGATGGTCGAGCGAGTCTAGAGACCGCTGTTGCTGCACCGAACCACGGCGACGCTCGGGCTCAACAGAATGGCGTCGCAGAAGGGAACCTGCAGAGAAAAGAAGGCGGCGCATGAAGTGGCCGTTATAAGGATGCTGAAGAACGACATACTAAACACACGTTTGTAACAACGAAACCCACACGAGTACAAAGCCGCGTTTGTAACAATGAAACCCACACAAAAGGCGTGCGCAAGGGAGGGGGGAGGGGCAAGTTTCATTCAGAATTTCGTTTTACTGAGTTAATAGTGCAAGTCGGAAACCATAAGAGCTTCTTTCTAATACTTGAATTAACTTACTCCATCTTATTAGACCAAGCAGAGCAGAAACTGATACTCTTCAATTACTGCTACGTTCATGATCTAGAACATGTACTGTCCCATAGAGTTACAACAGCACCCATTAAGTGAGCGCTACGACATTATTATTATTATTATTATTATTATTATTATTATTAGTAGTAGTAGTAGTAGTAGTAGTAGTAGTAGTAGTAGTAGTAGTAGTAGTAGTAGTAGTAGTAGTAGTAGTAGTAGTATTACTGCGTCGCGAATGATGATCACTAACAGCCTTCTATTTGAACAGTAGTGGCTACAAGTGGCCACTCTACAGAATAAATGTTACAATTATTGTCGTAAAACAGCCACCTTTATTCGGTAAGTGATACAGCCGTGACGAGCCTCTTTCTTTCCGATGTTTTTTGGTTTCCATCAAGCCTTGCTAATAACGACTCAGTTGACTTGTTCAGCCATCTGGCATTGCTAATCTAGATTGATTAACGATGAAGTTTTCAGAACAGGCTGACACGCTTTCGAGAAAGCCAAGAATCAGAAAACGGGAACTCGAAATAAATAAAAAAAATCAGATATCACGAAAACATTCACTACACATTATCTCATTATATATTTTTTTTTATTTGAACAAGGTTTTCGAGATGGGAAGCGACACTTCTTTCTAGCGTATGAGATACCTGTCTTTTTAAAATATTATGCTGTTTAGGAAATTTTTACGCTTTTACAAAGCCCTAGTAACCCCTTCTCACAGGGAATAATATAGAGATAATAACGGAAATCAAAATAAACAAATATAAATAGCAATTGGAGTTTATGTTGGTTCACTCACACAGCGGTTGCGCGGCACGAATGACAACACAAAATACTTTTTACTAATCATCGTTACTACAAGGTTTATACAGTAATAAAAACGATTAAGAAAATAACTTCCCATTTTCTTTGATCACAGAAGGAGAGGCCAATGCGAACTCGGAGCAGCCAGCCGATTACAGAAAAGCTCGCTCTTCCGTAATGAGGCGAGCTCACTTTATAATGTTCCTCAAGACGCCAAGAAGTGTCGCAACTAGTGATTTATTTACGTCGCCCGTTCGTACCCACGAGCATGTCTCAACGCAGCGCCTAGGTCTCCTTATTGCGCAATTTCTACGTCTCTTGCCCGCCTCGAATGAACGACATCGTTCAAGTGACTCAACAAAAAGCGTAGAGAGAGGTAGGGAACGGAAAAGTTTCGAAGTATTTTTGGTGACTTCTTTCCAGCCCGATCGTACAGCGTCACTTTCAGGTTGCCAACCATAATTAAGAAGAAGAAAAAAAGGAGGGCTGGTAATTTTCACAAGCGTTCGTTGTGTTTAAGTACTGTACTCAATAACCGACTAACACAACGTCGTGGATTTAAAAAAAGAAGACAGAAAGAAAAGCTGCATCACCTGAACATCTTCACTATTTAGGCACTAGGTAAAAATCTGTGTTAAAACGTATATAGGGGGAAAAAGCAGCACCCCATCCTCACACACACAAAGCAGCTTGTAATTTGAAGCTGGTTTCACCCTTCACTTCGGTGTATGGGGAGAAGACTTCTTTACAGGAGCTGTCTCGGCCAGCGCGCGAGAATGAACTTGCGAAGATGACTAAACGGCCTTTCACATAATTACTACTAAGTGCTCAGAGGAAAAGCGGTTATAGTTATTTGCGAGTACACTTCGGAAAGTAGCGAAAATTTTCCTCACCCGATATTTACGCGTCGAATCCAGCCCGAACATGTCGACCTCAAAGATCATAACAGATTTCGTTTCAATAGTTCAGATAGGTGAGAAACTATACGTAATAAAGCTCGATTATCAATTTTTAGATGAAAACTTTTTATTAAACACACTGACATCCTTCAAAGTACTGTAGCACTAGCACGTAGTTCCTAACGAGAAAAGCAGTCACATAGAATGTGATCAATTTAGCATACCAAATTATCCGCAAAACATCAATTTCGGTCAAAGAGTTTCAACGAATATTCTAGAGCGTGAATTTAGGTGCACTATTTTTCGCCTATTCTGTCACCCAAGATGTGCACCCACCCATCATCACAAAAAAATTGAAAAAAAAGGAGCGAGAAAAAACCACGATATCACTGTCGAGCACGTCACTAACCAACAGACCTGTCAGTCTTGCATAACAAACCAGTAGATAAATTCTCGCGGCCATGAATTCTCCTTTGCCTCAAAGACAGGAAATAAACCGGACATTTCGCAGCGACCGACACTCAGCAATATCGACCATGGCGGAAAGCTTACTCAGTACACACGTTTACTCAAAATCAAAGCGGGCCTAGCCTACAGCGTCAAAGCGCGAAAAAAAAAAGGGGGGGGGGGGGGGATACAATAAGTCACTGAGAGTAAGTTCGTGGTGCCGGCGCTGTTTCAGCAAGAGAACTCGTAGCGAAATAACATCCTCCCAGCCATGCTTTCGCAAACAGAGCTTGCTTTGAGAGTAAACAATGTTCGGACGCACCACGACCAAACAATGTGGCGTCATCACCGAACGAGAAGAAAGAGACTGAATAGTTATTATTCCTGAAAGTCGAAAATATACGTAGCGACACTCGCGAAAAAAAAAAGAGATAAATACGGGAATGTCTCGGTGTACAGAAATCCCGGCGAATTCTCGTCATTGAAATTTTCTAAAGCTATATAAAAACGGTATCGATCAGGAAATTCTTTTAAGGAAAATAAATTTCTTCCCGCTGAAATGTAGTGGTCCCCGGTTACGCCTACTTCCACCATACCGCTTCACGTGGACGCATTTGTCTTTCGCTCCGCCCGAAACGTTAAGGGTGCCGGCAGCCCGCAATCAGTGGAAGAGGTGTTTCGCGGCCAAGTTTTACGAAACCGTTCCCAGTAGGCACGAAAACAAACAAACGGAAAAATCAATAGCCAAGGGAAGAAAGCACTACAGTAAGAGTGGGAGAGTCTATTGAACAGGGAAGTTGCATTAGCGTCGGATCCAGGCGCACATCATATAGAGTTTATAACCCCTCCCATTTTAACCCTTCCTAAAAAAAAAAAAAAGTGGCTGAAGCGTCGAGGAAAGAACCGCTGCCGGCTGAGGCAAGGAAGCGACCTTCTCCGACGCTATGCGAGAGCTGTAGTTTCGATTTTACAACGTATTTTTTATTTTGATTTTGTTTTTTCCGCTGGGTTCTTCATTATTTTTTTTTATATTTTCGTCTCATTTAACAGCGTGGGGTTAAAAGTGAGAGGTGAGTAACGACTTGGCACAGCGCAAAGGAGATAAGAAAGTAGCTGTTGCGCGAGCTACGGTAAGTCGCGGAAAAACTGCAGTACACCGAGCAAGCGGGAAATAAAAGTAAAGCCTTAATCGATTGTATCCGTCCCGGTTGGCTTTTCTGTAGTATATACAAACACGCTAACGGCGAAACATACAAAAACTCACAACAGAAAAAGAATGTGGCTATAAGGAGGGGGGGGGGGGTGTAGCTGGTGTTCATTCATCCTGAAGGTGCGCTAAGTGAACACGGATACAAAGACGCAGACGGAAAGAAATACAGGAGACACAACGTCGACCGCAAGATGCAAGATCGGAAACAAAATATAAAGAGCACTTGTGATTCAAAAACTAAGGATATAACGAAAAGGGACCAAAGATACTTGGCTTAAAAAATACACCAATGTATCCGTTGCTTCTGTGTTTCGATTCGAACTTGCAAAAATAGCAGAAGTAAAATATCAGACGAAGTCTCGCATACAGCCCAGCCAATCACACTAAAGCATTCACTGAAGCATCCACCAAACGGAAAATGCAGCAAGATCCGAGTCCACGTTAACGCCTACGAATAATATAGTAATAATAGAGTAGTATTAGTAATAGCTGCAGTAAGAAAACGAAATCGGCTAGTGTGTGTGCACTTCAATTACCACGACGCAATATAAACGATCCAGCCGCCAACGCGATTGTCTTGGCGAATCCGATGGGACGGCGCGGGAAAGGCCGAAACAAAGTATCTATACAGGCGCCGTCGAAGCGGCTCGTCGCTGCGAGATCAGGTCGATATTCCTGGCGGAGGTGCGGGGTCTAATTAAGGGTCGAGCCAGCGCCCAGCAAACGTTCCCATCCACGAGCACGCACGCATACACACGGGAGAACCCACAAGAGACGCGAAAGGAAGGAAGGAGGCAACAAACGAGCCGAGATCGGGCGGATCTGTTCACGGCCCCACCGGAATCTGTAAACACTCCAGGGAAAGACACGTTCGATACACCTTGCGGTGCAGGCTGTAGTGTTGAGAGCACGCTCTCCGCCTCGCCGAAGGTCGCGAAATTACGCGATCGATGGGTTCCCGAAAACACTCGACCGAAGTAGACCACGTACGCAAATAAATAAATAAATACATCGATAAATACATTAGCGGAAGTTTGTCTCGAATGAGACTTCAAAGCTTGAGAATCAGCCTAAGGAAGTTGGCAGAGGCTTATATAGTAGTACACATGTAACACTACCAATCGACTGAAGCATATTATATGAGAAGCATTTCAGTAGCGAACCAAGGCACTTTGAGCGTTTCTATCGACGTATCCAGCAGACATTTCAGCCGCCCACGTCTGGGCGTTCTCGTGCACGCCTGCCATCGTCAACATGGCACTGACCGAAATTGGTATGGGACGGTAAGAGGGTTGGACGAATACAACGGTCTCGTCATGATATGAATGCCGTGAAAATCCTGCCGCGTAAGTCGTCAAACGCTTTCTCAC